TCCCCAAAAGGGCATTACAAAATTCCACCACAGGGTAGCGCATGGCACAATGGGATACCCACCCATGATGCACTGCACTTTGTGTTGACACAAGCACTCCTGGTGAGGATGCACAGAGCTGATGCAAGCAGTCAAGTCTGCACATGCTGAAGTGATATATTAACTGTGGCAACTTTATGCAGAAATAACCTGCATTGACTAAAGTTGTAGACATGGCCTGCGACTGCCACATCATTTATCGTTAACATAATATTTGCTAACAATGGAGAGAAAGCTTCCCTGACTCAGGGCCAGGCAGTAAGTTCACACATGGAATAGCATAGTTCGGCTTCTGGGTAAGGCTCTGAATGGAAGCATTGCCATCTGCAATGAGCCTTCACTAGGGCTTCTCTAGCAATCATGAATAATGATCTGTCCCTGTGTCAATACATGTCTAGAGCCTGCTATGTTTTTGCTGGTCTAGGCAAGGCGGGATTGAGAGATATTTAAACACAGAAGCCTGTTATAGAGAGGGGTCCATGCTTGCGTACAAGACGCCCACTGACTTTGGAGCTAGTGGGGCAAGATAGCACCATTTTATGCTCCTACTCAGTAGGAAAAGTCTCCTAAAAACAAGTGCTCTCTCCTTCTTCCTCTCTGTCCCTCTGGAAAGTGCTTTTAGTCCAATCTTTTTCAATTAAGATAAAAGGCGTTTCCCCATGTCTGTCACCAAATGTCCCTATTTACAGTTTTCACATGTTGGCAAGGATGTTTATATCTTGCCTGATGATTTGTTGTTATTATCATTATTACGATAAGAAAATTGCGCAACAATTAGAAACATGCTGTGGGTGGGCTGTTTGTATTCATCACTTGTTTGCAAACAGCAGGGAGCTGTGGGGGTAGATCAGGGTTGTTGTTGTTTCCCTTTGGAGGCACATTCATTCTGGCCCTATGCAGCCAGACATTGCAAACGGAAACTGCACTGATTTAAAATGACAGTTCAGTGCTTGTGTTCCATTTGACGTCATTTACACACTGGAATTGACATACGCACGCCAGTGAAACATACGGAGTTACGCAGCCAGTCAAACCCGACCAAAAGAGGCAGAAAAATGTCAAAAAACAATTAAACAAATTACAGCTTTACAAAGTGTCAATACAGTGCAGCCTCCCATTGCAAATAATGGCTCATACTTAATCCAGATCCATGCTGTTTCGCTACTAACAAAACACAAGGCCCAGTCTCTTCACAGACTCCTGCTTGAGCGCTTCTGAAGAGCAGCAACAGGATAAATGCATGTCCGGAGACACCTGGAATCTGTAGTGATCTAAGGCAGTGGTTCTCAACCAGGAGTCTACAGAAGTCTTCCAAGGGCACATCAACTCATCTAGATATTTGCCTAGTTTTACAACAGGCTACATAATAAGCACTAGCGAAATCAGTACAAACTAAAATTTCATACAAACTGAGAAAGTCAGCAATTTGTCAGTAACACTGACACTTTTGTATTTTTATGTCTGATTTTGTAAGCAAATAGTTTTTAAGTGAGGTAATACTTGGGGTACACAAGACAAATGAGAGTCCTGAAAGGGGTACAGTCATCTGGAAAGGTTGAGAGCCACTAATCTAAGGTATGGTTCTTAGCTCAGTAAAGTGTGGGTGCGGGCATGCTGCCAAGCACCATTCCGGTAAAAATAAGGCCCAATCCTACAAGGTGACAGGCAATCTACACTCGCATTGAGGTCCATTGCGGGAAGTGGAAGGCGCCCTATGCTTTGAAGGCTTACTCCCCAAAATCCTGGTGGGACTGCTGAAAATAAGGAACTGTTGTGGTCTAATCAGTGTGCTTATTTATACTGTAGTTACATAACAACCTACCCTTGCCACTTTACACCATTTACGATCCCCACTGTAATTACCTTTAAGGGTGCCACCAGCTGGAGTTTTTGTGGAACTGCCCTGATTTTGAGAAGGCCATTCCAGTTTCTCCACTGTGTCACTCATAAAAATATGAAAATAAATAGAGTAAAATATTTTTTTCTCCTCCCAGTTCCAGTCACAGCTTCCAATAGAAAAGCTCTTCCAGTTGAAGGATCTGGCTGCCTATCTGATCTGTCTTAGGGCACGTCTTCACTACCCGCCGAATCGGCAGGTAGCAATTGATCTATTGGGGACCCACTTATCGCGTCTAGTGAAGACGCGATAAAATCGATCCCCGATGGCTCTTCCGTCGACTCCGGAAATTCACCGTGGCAAGAGGCAGAAGCAGAGTCGACGGCGGCGCAGCCGCGGTCGACTCGCCGCCGTCCTCACAGCCAGGTAAGTCGACCTAAAATACTCCACTTCAGCTACGCTATTCACGTAGCTGAAGTTGCGTATCTTAGGTCGACCCCCCCGTAGCGTAGACCTATCTTAAGTGTTTTGTATAGCGTCCATCACCATAATAGCTAAGGATGTAGGGGGAACATTTTCAAAAATCCCTAACTGATTTAGGAACCTAAGTCCCATTGGCATTGAGGCTTCTAAGTCACTTAAGTTCTTTTGAAAGTTTTATCTGTCGTATCTAAGGCCATCTGGGCAGGAGTGGCCAGCTGCTCCCGTGTCCCAGAACACATTTCAGTAGGGAACTCCGAAGCAGCAGCAGCTGCTAGAATTCATTTTAACAGTTGGGTAGCTACAGCCTATGAGATGTGCCCTTAATAAATAACACCTAAATGTAGTGTGAGTCACTCCTAAAAGCTGCCACTGTGCAACTCGAGTGCTTAGCTTCCAGTATGTCAAAGCTTCTCAGTCTACAGCAGTAATATCACGATGATGCTGACGTCTGTGATGTAACGGCAATGCGTCGTGATGAAGTGATGCCACATTAAATGTTAATGACACCCCATTACCACACTGAAAAACATCACAATGTGACATGACATAAATTTTAGTTGGACTGTGACCTTATTTAACTTATTCAGTGAAAGCCTGGCCCAACTGAAGTCACAGGAAATTTTGCCACTGAGTTGAACATAGCCAGGATTTCATCCAATGTGTCTCCCAGGTCCACTTAAGCGATTCCCAAATTCCATCAGTGTGAGCAATATCACAAATCCATATGAAGAATAACTGGCATGGCAGTATTTCACTCTTAGTCCAACCTATAGCTTATCAGTGTAGCAATCTGTTATCATGTGCTAGATATGGCCAAACTTGAGGCTTTAGCCTTGCTCTTTGCTTCTGGGGCTATGTGCTCTGCAGAGATAGCAGACCATGGGTAGAAGATGGGAAAGATGCATCTTCCACCACTCTGCAATTTTCCCTCTGGTAATGTGGAGCCGACTTTATGGCTATGGAATGTGTCATGTTGAGCTCTCCTCATCCAGGACAATGGCTTCAAGGAGGCTTTAGGAAACCCTCCACCCTCCCAGGTGGAAAACAAATGCGATGGACGGTAAAATAAATTAAACTCCTTAACCAGGTCTTTCCCTTTCCAACCCAGGGCTGTCACAAGCAAATGTCAATTGATATATAATCTACTGAGTTCTGTCCTTGGTTTGGGAACAGAAAGAAAATCCAGAGTCAACTAATGAAACCATGTCCATAGAACTAATGAAACCATGCATTTGACTAGAGTTAGATTCATAGCACTTGTCTATTGAATGGTACTGAAGTGTCTCTGGCTGTACAGGGCTTTTGGATGGCTCTCTCTCATGTTTTAGCAGAAGCATTATTTCCTTTTTCTGTCACTAAAGGCAGTAGTTTCCATTTCTGGTTTCTTCATCCCTAGAGCTTGGATGAAGCAGAGCCGAAGAATCAAGCTGGGGTTTTTCAGGTGTGAAGTAATATTTTTGTATGGCTCTGTAGACAAAGGTCCTGTACCCAAATGTGAGAAATATGAGTTTAAACTAGTATTTGCTTAGTAGCAACTGTGATCATTACGGTTGCAAATTGTCCACCATTACCCTTGTTAACAACATGCCCATAACTTTAATTGTGCAGTCACATGGGTTTGGGCATTTAGAATGTATGTGACAGGAATTTGGATATTGTAGGCCACACTTGAACTGGTGGAATAGGAGCCAATAAGATGCCTCCAAAAATATTGTTATGCGTCTCCTTTTGTCAAGGGCTTTTTCCTTCCTTTTCCAGATTTTTCCCCTTCTTCCTACCAGCAGTAGTGAAATGAGGGAGCCCATCTATAGCTCACAACTTTGAACACTGTTTACAAATGCATTCGCAACCAGAGTGCCCACCAAGGGCACAGAATCACGGTTTGTGCTTCACTTCAGTGTGTTCGAAATACAGCTGCAAACAAAACAGGGTGAGCATTAGGGATATGAAACACACCAGAATCATCGTCCTTAAGGCGCCTTCTTTGTGACGCCTACTCAAGGCTTATTAAAATCCTCTCTGATTTTCTTCACATCTCATCACTGCAGAACTACTTAGGGACACTGAGCCTATTGTAGTCATATCCTCTCAAATTTCAAATCCACGGGCTCTGAGAAGTGGTGGGATGATGAGAGCTGTTGATACTAGCAGGAGTTCCCTTGCACAGGCAGTCTTGCCACTGGAAAGGCCCAGGGCTTGGACTTTAGTGAGAAGAGGAAGATTACTGAGGGTGCCTGGAAGGGGATTTGGTGCTAGCATCTTTAGTAATCATTAAAGGCTTCTTAGATAGCTATGGGCACAGTTTTAATTGAAGTCTGACTCACATCTGTCCTAGACAGAAAATGAGGTACTCAATCAATGCTAAAGCAGGATGGCAAATACCTAATCTTGATCTTGTGGCGCGCTGCACCCCTCCCTGGGGATACTGTGGGCCCTGAGTGCTCATTGACTTCAGTTGTCATTGAGGGTGGGTGGGTTTAGAACCAGCTCTTGTAGCTCTACATGCACCTAGTCTTCCTTTCAATCCAAATACGGTCACAGTCCTGGTGTTCCCTCAGTGAACACAAGGTAGGCCAGGAAATAAGTCATTTTACCCAACACACGTGGCTTTGGCAAACCCCCACATTAAGATGACTCTTACCTCTTTCTGATGATACTTTATTGCTACCTTTAGCTTTGCCAAATCATGACATTTTTGGGGATCCAGCTCCTCGCTCTGATCATCCCTGTGGTTGAGAATGATCTCCAGTTCCCTGGAGCTCCGTGCCTGGTCCAAAAGGTCCTTAGCAAAACGTTTGCACTGCTGGGAAAGCTCTTCGTATTCAGCCTTGAACTCATTCTCCACTTTGCTGAGCTCCTTCAGCTCCCAGCCCAGCCGGAAGGCTGTCAAAATCGGGTCCTCACTCGATAAGGCAATCAACGAAGGGCTGGCTAAGGCTTTGTAGATGTTCAGCCTTGACCTGGAATGCCTCAGGCTGTCCACCTCGGAACTGGAGACACATTCCACGCAGTTGCATCTGATCTGGTGGGGGCGCGGTATTGTTACCCGTCTTTGGACAAGCAGTTTGATGATTTCGTAGTTGTTGGTGTGGGCCGCCAACATTATTGGGGTGATATCAGGGGTGAATTCTGAAAACTGGGTGTCCATCATCAAGGTAGGGACCTACACATAACAAATAAATACATAATAATAATAACAACAATTAATAATTAATCATCTCATTCAGGGGAGTAGGAAATAGACATTCATCTTGTATAGTTATACTAAACATGGTCATTCATAATATTCCACATTCAGCAAACCTTATTTACTCCCCATTCAGGCAAAAGTGCCCAGTGCCTCACTGCAGCAATCCATGGCTCTTTAATTCACATGCTGGTATAAAGGTTGCTCAATAGCCCATGTTCATTTTTATAAAGGAAGTTGATAGAAAGAAGATCCTAGTTCATAAATTGCTACTGAAAGGACAGCTGGGTTTGTGAGAGAAAGGCCCAGGGAACCTCACAAAAGGAGAGCCCCCCCCCCCCAAACAATCAATATATTATTATTATTTATTTATAATACAATAGTGCCTAAGAGTCCCAGTCATGGACCAGGACTCCACTGTGCAAGGTGCTGTACAAACACAGAATAAAATGACGGTCCCTAGTTGAGCAAAGGGGTTGCTAACTTTTTCCCTACTCTTTTAGTAGGAACAACTCTCCAAAGGAGGAGAATGTTACATAAATGCCCTCAGGTCACATTTTTTTAAAGGTTTGAAAAATATTAAATGTAAAATTAATGAGCCGCAATCTACTACCAATCAGCCACTACAGGGTGTGCGTTATTCGGCTACTGGTACAATTTTCAAGTAGTTAAAAGCTGAGGTTAATGTTCACTCTATTCTGATTCATTACTATATTCAGAGTGCAGAATTATACTGAAATGCTCATACAGACCCACGCCTCAGTGTGTTTCCATTTGCAGCATAGGTAGCTCTTTTTGTTGTGTGTTAATAATCACTCAAGCGTACTGTATTTCATGTACCCTCCGCACTCACTCCTGTGGCTGACATTCTGCTGCTGAAAGTGTGATTGCAGGTTATGGTGAATAGCAGGCACATTTCCCTCTTGTGACTGTCAGAGGCATTTCACAGAAGGATTTTAATGACAAGAAACATTACTCAGTCCATTAAAAAAAACACTCGAGCTAGTTAATAATCCTTTTATCTGACACCTGTAACATGATGTAATGGTGGTTGTGAGCAGCAGTGATTGAACGTGGGCATCTAAAACCCACATCTGGGTATGGAAATAGTATGGCGGGCCATGAATGCTCATGAAATTGGGGGTTGGGGTACGGGAGGGGGTGAAGGCTCCGGTTGGAGGTGTGGTCTGGGGTGGGTCCAGAAATGAGGAGTTCAGGGTGCAGGAGGGGGCTCCGGGCTGGGATAGGGGAGTGGAGTGTGGAGGGGGAGGTGAGGGTTCCAGCTGTGGGTGCAGGCTCTGGGGTGGGGTGTGGATGAGGAGTTTGGGGTGTAGGAGGGTGCTCTGGGAGGAGACTGAGGGGTTTGGAGGGCAGGAAGGGGATTAGGGCTGGGGCAGGGGGTTGGGGCATGGGCGGGGGTCAGGGGTGTAGGCTTCAGGCGGCGCTTACCTCAAGCAGCTCCCAGAAGCAACGGCATGTCCCCCCTCTGGCTCCGACGCGGAGGCATAGCCAGGCAGCTCTGCATGCTGCCCTATCTGCAGGTGCTGCCCCTGTAGCTCCATTGGCCGTGGTTCCAATGGGAGCTGTGGGGGCAGCATGCGAAGCCCCCTGGCTGCCCCTATGCATAGGCGCCGGAGGGGGGACATGCTGCTGCTTCCAGGAGCCGTGCAGAGCCACAGCACGCACGGAGCAGGGCAAGCCCCAAGCTGGAGTGCCGGAGCGGGGAAAGCCCCGGACCCCTCTCCCTGGCAGGAGCTCGAGGACCAGATTAAAACATTTGGAGGGCCGGATGTGGCCCTCGAGCCATAGTTTGCCCACCCCTGCTTTAGTAGACTCATAAACCTCTAGGCAGTCCAGCCACTAGAGCAGGATTGAACGCCAGAGAGGTACACTTGGGGCTACCATCTGTAATAATTTCCCCCAAACATGCAAAAGGCTAGGTGGGTTGTGTGTGCTGCTGGTGAGAATGGCAAAGCAGATGACCGAGCTGGCTAGAAGTGCCTGTGCTTGCAAACATAACAAGGTGCTGGCCTGGTTACAGCAAAATAGGAGTTAATTCTCCAGCAAGCCACACCCAGACAGGTGAAAAGAATTGTGTTAACAAGGCAGAGCTCCTGACTGAAGGCAATCAGGAGCTAAGGGCATTCACCCGGGAATCCTATAAAAATGGCTCACTGGGTGCACTGGGGGCAGGAGTGGGAGGATGGTTAAGGGGGGGAAGAAGAGGTCATGTCTGCTTAAGAAAGCTGTATCTGTCTTCTCTTTGTAAAACAAGGTGATTATTGTCTTTTAAGAAACCTATTAAGCTCTTGGCAATAAATAGCATAGAGGGAAGCTCTCTTTGCAAGAACAACAAGGAGTCTGGTGGCACTTAAAGACTAACAGATTTATTTGGGCATAAGCTTTTGTGGGTAAAAACCTCACTTCTTCAGATGCATAGAGTGAAAGTTACAGCATCTGTAACTTTCACTCTATGCATCTGAAGAAGTGAGCCACGAAAGCTTATGCCCAAATAAATCTGTTAGTCTTTAAGGTGCCATCAGACTCCTTGTTGTTTTTGTAGATACAGACTAACACGGCTACCCCCTGACACTCTCTTTGCAAGGTTTTTGCTGGTCGCTCACTCTGCCAGTTTAGTAATATACCTTTCTAAATGGCAAATGAAAGGTACAGAGTTCATTTGGCCACATTTACTAGAGTTTCAATCCTAAAATAAAATGCATGTATGAGTACATAATGACTGAGTTATTTCTCTCTCTTGTATAGTCAGTAGCTATTGGCTACAATACCCAGATCCTAGGCTTCAATTTTGAAAAGAAACTATTTTCCCCTCTGTAAACCTCATTATGATCAGGAGACAGGTTTAATTTGCTTCTTTCCTGATTGAATGTGCTGTATCTAGAATTGTAAAGGGAGCATATTCAGCCTTCTATGAATGATTGATTCAGGTTTCTTTAAGTAAAAGACATTTGCAGACAAAATAGTGACACAAATGGGGAAGGAGCCAAGCCAAGCTACCCTGGACCTTAGCAGGCTTTCAGAATTGGACATCCTAGCCCTGATCCATTATTATTGTCTGCATAACAGTAGAGCCTAGACATCCAAACCAGGGTTGGAACTCTGTGCTAGGCATAATACAAACACATAGTGAGAGACAGTCCCTGCCTGGAAGAGCTTACAATTGAAAGCGACAGAGAGTGGGAAGGGAAACAGAAGCACTGTCAGCTCTGGGTATTGCGCAAGGTCACACAGCAGTTCACTGGCAATGTGAGGAATAGAACCCATGTCTCCTAATTTCCTTTGTAGTACCTTAAGCACGTACAACTTGGGTCTATCTCTAATAACAGCTGTATTACAAACCAAAGCAGCAATAGAGAGACACCTGGTGAAAATGAGGGCTGCGATGTTTAACCTTTTTTTTTCTTTTCTTTCTTTTTTCTTTTCATTCCTAATTGATCTACGCTAAAGGCAGTAGGCTGGCCAAAAATTTTACATGTTGTGACTTTTTGGTGCTTTTGCGTCAGGAATTGCTGGTTTTCAGACACAGATCTCGGTCTGTGACTCCTCTGTTTAAAAGTTGGCATTATGCCGAGAAATCCTCTGCTGATAATGCAATATTTGATGTATTGTCATTGGATAATGACAGCCTCAGTCTGTGGCTCAGCATATATTTGCATTGTTCTCACAGGTTGAGCTCATGTTTAGGTCGGCTTATTCCACATTTTAGGCTACATTACAGTGATGGAAGTAGAATAGGAATAAATTATTTTACCCCAAAGACTGTGCTAAACTCTCCCAAGGTTATTTTCATTAAGTGACCTGAATAACGAATTCTTTTCCATTAACCTCATCCCCTGACACAAGCTGTTATGCTGAATCCCTCAGAACCCCACTGTCAGTTCTCACATAACAGCATGTGCCTTTCCTGCATTTTATCTCGGTAGTGTCAGCTTCAGAAATTAAAACTACCATTTATAACCACTGATTGAACACTTATTAACATCTTCCTTGAGTTAATCCTCACGAGGCTGGGCTACTCACCCACCACCTCATTGCCTTTTTTGACGATCCTGCAACGAGTGATAATTGGGTTTTTTAACTAATTCCTGTCCTATTTTGGAAACATTGCAGTTTTCCCTCACATGGAATCATTGCTCAAATTACTTCTGAGTTTTCAAACCACCAGCAGAAACACTGTTTTATTCATCATTGGAAAGGCAACATGTTCTAGTAAACAATGCACAGGACAGGGAGAACAAGGGCTTGGATTCCGGTCCAGGCTGTAACGTTGAGCAAGTCACTTGACCTCTCTGACTCAGTTTCCTCCAGCTACAAGAAAAAGATAATATGCTCTTTATAACGTGCTTTAAGATCCTTAGATGACAGACACTCTATACATGCTGAGTAGTTATTCCTTTCCACAGTTAGAAGATGAAGACTACTAGACTACACTACACCTCATAAAGCAATAACTTCTGTCCCTCAAGATGAACCACAGTGAAGAACCTCAAAACCAAAGCTATTCATCTAGAAGAGTATGTGGGTCTGATCTAGCCACTGTCTGTTTTGTCATAGGTTGGATTCAGAACCACAAGGGGTTTATTTTGAAGTTCTTGTTTGGACAGAGCTGGGAACAATTGTTCTTATGAGATTTTTGGCCCAAGGTGATGATCCTGTTCTCTTTTCAGGCCCTTCTCAAGATTCACTTCTACTGTGGAGCCTACAGGAAATTGCTAGCTGATAACGACGAATCAGGTGGCCAGCAGGGATTACTGGGACTGTTTATTAATTATTTATGGCACTAAAAGAAAACCTGCCAAATTGTTCAAATACTGACCCTGGGCAGCTACCTTTTCTTAGGACAGTTACCCTCATCTTGTTACACCCACTTGTTATATCTTCTTTTCACCTAGAAGGACCCACCTATTACTATGTGATTGTGCAGCACCCTGCAAAATAGGGCCCTGATCTAAATG